CTGCAGCACCGCCAACTCCAAGACGCCTCCGCAGTCGCTGACGAACCGCAAACCACTCTCGCAGCTCCTCCGGTGTAAGGGGCGGGCGAGAAACCGGTCCAGCACCCTCAGGCTCAGTGCGCCCAGGTTCTGCACCCTCCAGGACCTCACGCACCGGCACAGCACCCCCAGGCTTCGCACCCTCCAGCACCTCACACACCGGCTCAGCACCCCCAGGCTCCGCACCCTCCAGCACCTCACGCACCGGCTCAGCACCCTCAGGCCCCGCACCCTCGAGTACCTCACACCGTGGCTCAGCACCTCCAGACGCAGCACCTCGAGCAGTACCACCCTCAGTAGCACCTGAGTCGCTAGTGACCTCGACACGCTAAGCTAAAGGAGGTGGGTCTACCTGAGACACACCTGAAGGAGCAGGACCCTGGGGGGGAAGGGGGTCTATCGGAGGGGGACCTGGAGCGAGGAAGAGCGGTGGGGGAGAGAGAGAGGTAGTGCGGTAGGGAAAGAGGCAGTAGAAAGGGACTGACTCGTCAAAGGTGACGTCCTGAGAAGACAGGACACTGCGCGAGGCGGGATGGTAAAACTGCCAGCCAGGCGCGTCAGTCGGAAAGCCGAGGAAGACACAGGGAAGGGTGCGGGAGGAGAGCTTGTCCGAGGACGTATCGCGAACAAGAGCATGGGCACCCCAGACCCGGAACACCGACGCATCACCAACCTCCCCCGTCCACCGCAGTGTGGGCGAGGTCTCCGGAACGGAGACACGGGGCCTGAGGTTGAGCCGTTGTGCGGCGTACCGGACCGCAAACGGCCACAGAAAATGGGGAGCCGCTGCATGGATCAAGGAGGTACGAGCGATCTCCATGACCAGGCCAATGCGGCGCTCAGCAACCCCATTTTGCTGCGGTGAGCCCGGAAGCGTGTAAGACTGGGTAATGCCCTCCTCCTGATAGAAGCCGCGCAAGAGGTCGGAGGCGAACTCTCCGCCACTGTCAGAGTGCAGACGCAGAACAGGGAGGTCAGTCTGAAACCTCCTGCGTAGCTGTAGACGAACTGCTCGCATCCAAGGGATCAGGACAGCAGGGACCTCACCCTTGGTGCGCAAGGGGAAGACCGTGGTGTAACGCGAGTAGTCGTCAACTACCAACAGGAAGTACCGCTCTCCACCCCGTCCGCTGACACGGGCGGGGCCCTAGACGTCCATGTGGAGAGTCTGAAGCGGAGCCTCTGTCGGAGGAAACAAGGAGGAGTGAGGAGCGGCGCGCTGCCGCCTCTTGACGCAGGGAAGGCAGGCCGGGGCAGGCGAAGCAAGGAGGGGAGGCAGGGTCCGGGGAAGACCAGACACAAGGACGCGACGGTGCATGTAACGAAGACGGGGCAGGGAGGGGTGGCCCAGACGGTGGTGCCAGAAAACGGTCTGGTGCGACAGGGAGCGACATGAGCAAGGGGAGTCTAGCTGACCTGACGCAGACGCCTGACCGACAGCAGCGACCTGGGGAGACACACTGGTAAGTGTGTAAAGGCTCAACCCTGGCGCACGCGTGAACGTGGCCAGGTGTCGCCCAGTCCTGGAGCACATACAGATCACCACACACTGTCCTCCAGGGGTGAAGGTGTCAACCCAGTGGTCCTGAAGGACAGCGTTGCTCACCAAGTTCGTAGAGAACGAGGGGAGGTGGAGACCTGACAGCGAACCAGACGGGACCGTTGGGCAAGGAAGCACAGTGGTAGACCGTGCAAGGACTGGACCCCCCGAGGGGTCAGCCAGGGAGACTGCAACTGGTGCAGGGAGCGGTGTGAGGGCTGTGCTATCACGGAAGAAACATCTGGAAGCACCTGAGTCAAGGGTGAAGGTGTGCAGGGCGGTAGAAGGCGCAGTACCTGACAGAGCAGACTCACCCACACCTAAGGCCGCTGACGCGGTACCTGAGAGCGCGGACTCGCAAGCACCGAGAGCTGCTGGCTCTATACCTGGATCAGGCGGTAGACACAGGTAGCAGTCATCCTCAGCACTAACAAACAATGTATACATGGCAGCAAGAATAGCATCATAGTCAAGAGCAAAGATGTCTACACCCTTCTTAAGCAAATCAAACCAGCGAGGGGTCTCAACCTCTGCACCCATCTCCTCACGCCAGGCGTTGTCAAGGCGGGAGAAGCAACGCTGCTGGGGGTGGGGCTTACCGCATGTCTGACCAGCATGCTCACTGGTGCGAATGACATACAGACAGCGAGTACCCCGAGACGTACCCCTCTGAGCCAACCACTCACGAAGCTGCTGAGGTGTAAGGGACCGCTGCTGCTGCTGTCTCTGACCAGCGCCTCCACCACGACCGCTGCTGCTGCTGTCTCTGACCAGCGCCTCCACCACGACCGCCACCGCCTCCGCTGCCTCCACCACCGCCGCTACCGCCACCACCGCCACTCCCACCGCCGCCGCCACCACCACCACCTCCACCACCGCCGCTGCCACTCCCACCAGCACCCCCGCCGCCATTGCCTCCACTCCCACCGCCATCCCCACTCCCTCCACCTCCTCCTCCACCGCCACCATCACCCTTGCCCCCCCTGCCCTTGCCGGTGCGGCGCCGCTCGGTAGAAGTGGAGGCAGCACCAACCGGGTCGGCTCCGAGGAAGTCTACGACGGCAGCAGTGGCGTAGGAGGGGGCAAGAGGGGAAGAAGCGCACCCCTCAAAGATGGGGGTGCAAGGAGCGCCACGAGCAGCAGCCACACTAACAATGATGCTCTCAGCGGCTAAGAGGTGCTCCTCTAGGAGGTCTTTGGTGAGGTCGGAGGGGCAGGGCGCTAGGAAGTGGTCCCTGACTGAGCGAAGGGTGTCAGGGAGGCGGGTCACTATAAAGTGGAGCATCCAGTACATCGGAGGGGGGTGCTGGGCAACAAACTCCTTGCGGAGTGTGGCACCGACACGAGCGTCACTAGAGCGAAGGTGGGTGATGAGGTCGGCTACAGTGGCAAAGCTCGACATCTCGGGGAACAGGTACGGCAGCATGAGGCGGCTGAGCGCAGCTGTGGAAGGGGAGGAGTAGCGAGCAACTACAGTGTCGTACAGGGCCTTAGCGGTTTTGTGCTCGCCAAAGTGCTTGAGTTCCGCTAGCGGCAAGTGGTTGCGAATAGCAAGGCGGGCAGCAGCATCGCGCGTCAGCCACTGAGAGTGCTCGCTAAGGGGAGCTGTGTCAGCAGGAGCGGCTAGGGCACCGGAGGTGTGGTCAAAGAGGGAGATTTCGTCTTTGCTGGTGCTAATGAGGTAGAGCTGCAAATCATCTAGCTAGGCGTCGAACTCTACAGGGCGGCCCTCAGTGTCGAAGGAAAGAACACGAAGGATGGCCATAGTGCTAGGCGGTGACGAGCAGCAGGAGTAGGGCTCAGGTAGGGCGCGCGGCAGGAGGGCGCTAGCACGGGTAACGCGTCAGGCAGAGCGTGCGGCAACAGGGAGCGCGACTAGCAGGGCATGCGGCAGCAAGGCGTGCAACACAACAGGGCAGGAGGCGCTGCAGCAGGGCGCGCGACGCAGGGCGAGCGAGGCGGCAGCAGGCACGCGACGCAGGGCGGGCGAGGCGGCAGCAGGCACGTGACGCAGGGCGGGCGAGGCGGCAGCAGGCGCGTGACGCAGGGCGGGCGAGGCAGCAGCAGGGCGCGCGACGCAGCAGGGCGGGCGACGCGGCTGAAGGGCGCGCAACGCGGCGGGCGGGCGACGCGGCAGCAGCGCGTGCGACGCGGCGGGCGGGCGACGCAGCAGTAGCGCGCGCGACGCGACAGCAAGGCGCGACGCGACAGCAGCGCGCGACGCGGCTGCAGGGCGCGACGCAGCAGCAGGGCGCGACGCAACAACGGGGCGCGACGTAGCAGCAGGGCGCGACGCAGCAGCAGGGTGCGACGCAGCAGCAGGGCGCGACGCAGCAGTAGGGCGCGCGACGCGGCAAAAAATAAAAAAGGGACGGTGGGCCCACAGAGTTAGGTCCTAGGGACCTCTTGCTCTGATACCAATTTCAGAGTACTAGGCAGGGATGAGTCAACTATGAAAGTGTTGGGTACAAATATGAAACCCTAGAAGGGGTTGTACCCCATATTGGCTACCCCACTACAGCCTAAACATATATAGCATATAGATAATTTGACACCACCCTCTGCATTCCCGCGGCGCGCTCTTCCGGTGTCGGCCGCTTGAAGCCCGAGGGGCAGCCGTAGAGGCTGGTGGGGAGGTGCGGCGGCGTAGCGGTTCAGTCGCCGCGGCGCTGTAGCAGCAGGCGGAAGATGCAGTGCCAGAGCGCCGCGGGTAGTTTGTCAACCGAGTCGTCGAACTGGACTGGCGGCGGCGGTGGTGACTTCTTCTGTCGCTTGTTCTCTCATCACTTGAGCTGTTCCCTCGCTGCCCCCGTTGACGATTCTCGGTCACCTCCCATCCGCGATGACATGCTGCTAGCTGTGCGAACGCCAGCCATTGGCGGCTCCTCTTTTCTATTGGCACACTAGTAACGCATTTGCATTCTGAAAAATGACCTATCTTATACTTGCCATGTCTCTGAGGCGTCCAGAAGTCACAGGATAAAATGCGCCAGCAGCTTAGAGTTCCAAACCAGAGTTGGGCTTTGCCAGGCTACGGTACTTGACCCATCAGCGGTCAGCATTACTGATTTCAACCCTGGTGACACTGCTGCGAGACGGAGAAACCAAAACAGTAACAGCCCCTTCCAGCACCTTCCAGACTAGAACGTGACAAGCCCAGGAGCGTTGCGGAACTCGCAGGGAAAATTGTGACCAAAATTCCCCCCCTCCCTGGTTGCGTTGCTGGTCAAGGACGACAAAGGAGGGAGGGGGGATGCCGGACGGACCGCGCTGTTTGATGTTTGGCGATGTTGTTTTTTTATTTTTTATTTTATTTTTTTATTTAATGGAAAGATACACTAAAAGTGCACAATACATCGGCAGTCGTAACTGAAGCTGATGGGCCTAGGGGGTTAGCACCCACCGTACCCATCCTAATCCTCTACGGGGGACGGAAAGCTGCCCTCGGGTTCGACCAGATGGCCATGAATCCTTTGGACCACGTGGCCGGCTGAGCTATGCTGTCAAAGATATGACTCAAAACCCGGCACTCATCATTATCCAACCCAGGACGGGTGGCACCGAGCCTCTTGGCCACTGCTTTGGCACGTTTGTAAATCCTGACATGCAGTTGGAAAGATGCCACGATCCTCGGCAGCGCCCTCCGCGCCCGAAACTTGCTGCGCTCGAAAACCGCATCACACCTTTCAACCCAAATCCGGTGGAGCGCGATTGCCGTGATCGTAGCCTCAGGAAACCCCAAAGCTGTCCCCTCGAAAACCAGGTCCCCCAGTGATTCGATTTTCCGATGCGGGTTCATAATTCCGAGCGCCTTCAGAAGTGCCCGAATTGCTGGCTGAATGCGCGGGCATAAAAACAGCCCGTGTTCCAGCGTCTCCTTCTCCCCGCTGTGGGGGCATGCAACCCCAGCTCCAAGGAAATGCAGCCGCTCCCCCACCTGCAGGTTACGACTGTGTACCCGAAGCATCACGTCCCGCGCTCGGTTCGGAAGGGCCGCCGAATCTCTAACGCCAATTACCCTCCTCCTGTCAATCGAACGGCCGAGAGACTCCTCCCAGGTGATCTGTTGCTTCGGCTTCCCGCCGCCTCGTTTGAAACCTTCCTTTAGCTGCCTCATCTGTGCCGGGCCGTTCCCCTCCCATATGGGCGAACACAACAATCTCGCCTTGGGGACGCCCGCGGGGCCAAGGAAGCGGCCCTCCCTGACCACCGCAGGTACCACCTCGTGCGGTAGGAAGCTGCGCACCTTCTCCTCTGCGTCCCCCAAAACACCCCGAAAGTAGCTGACAGCTCGGCAGATTTGGGTTTCCCCCTCCACGCTCTCAATCCTCCAGACCCCATAGCACGTCCCCGCCTTCAGCACATACTTAGAACACGCGAGCACCGTACGCGCCGTGACAGGCGCCAGGAGCAACTGCTTCCATTCATCCGGAGCGGCGTCAAAAATCCTCTTCGCCAGCCTCGATCCCACCGAACCCCCGAACTCCCTCTCGACCTCCTGGGCATCCTTTAGTGCTCTTGAACCGTCCGCAGCGACCTTGACAAAATCACACATGACCGAGCGTTTTAGGCCCTTAGCCGCCTTCTGCCTCCCCGCAGGCGTCCTACCATTCAAGAGCAGCCGCTGATTAAAAAGCAGTAACTCCTGCTCCACATCCCATACCGAAGAGACGTTGACAGACGATGAGAAGTTGGACTCCAGGAATAGCTCACAAGTCCGTTTCCACTGCATACACCTTCCTTCCCATTGCTTTATCAGTCCCGCGTGAGCCCAGAAGACTTGAAGGTCAGGGACATCCAGAGCTGCCAGCGCAAGATCAGCACGCAGACCTAGCGAGTGCGACGCCAGCAGCGCAATTCACCTTGCTGCCATGCCGCCCAGCTCAGCACACCGGTCTCGGACCCCGAGGCCACCCTCCCCTCTCACCTTGAACATCAGCTCCTGACTCCAAAGCGCGAAGTGCTTCCCCGTGACAAAGTTGTGAAGCAACTTCACCAGTTTCGCCCAGATTTCAGATGGAGTTGGGTAGACCTACGCTTGAAAAGCGAGGATCGGGTTAATGTAGCCGTTGACCACATCGACCCTCCCAGACGTAGTCAAATACTGAATCCGCCACTTTACTAGCTCCGCCGTTGCGCGCACTAGGGTGATTTCCTAGGTCATTGACGTGCCCCCCAAAGGTGAGATCCACACCCCCAAGACCCTTTCCGCCTCATTCGGCCGCACCCATTTAAAGACTGACGACTTGTCGGTTTTTTTGCGCAGGTTCCTTCCCAGGTGCAGCAGCGCGGACTTGTCTTTGTTCACTCGGAGTCCTGACTTCACCCCGAACTCGTCCAGCAGCTTCACCGCTTGGTCGATTTGCCTTTTACCCTTGAGCACTAGCGTGGTATCGTCTGCGTACCCCAGGTATGCTAGGCGATCGCCGTACGGATTACTAATCCCCATTTTCTGCCTTCTTACTTCCTGGCAGAGAGGCTCTACTGCGCGGAGGAAGAGATAAGGCGCCAACGGGCAACCCTGACGTACGCCTTTCCTGACCGCCACTGGATCCCCCAGCGAGTCGTTGAGCAACAGTCTCGTCGTCGATCCCGCGTGGAGGCCCACACACCACTACACGAACTTCTGCGGGAAGCCCATCCTCTCCATCGTGCCAAAAGGTAATCGCGCGAGACGGAGTCGAAAGCCTTCTGGAAATCGACGAGCAGAGGGTACCAGTCCGCGTCCTTACACTTCGTCGCCTCAACAACATCCGCGATTAACGAAACTCCATCCGAAAGCCTTCTTCCAGGTAAGAAACCATACTGCTCCTCTGAAATGACCTTGTGCAGCACTTAACGCATTCTGTTTGCCAGCACCCGCGCCACTAACTTGTACGTGCTGTTGAGCAGCGTGATCGGGCGGTAATTATGCACCTGGTCCTTCGCGCCCTTCTTGTGCAGTAAGAAAGTGACCGCCTCCAGGGCAGCGGGAGGAAGGACCGCCGACTTATCGAACTGCTTTACGAAGCCAAACAGGTCGCCGCCTAGTGAGTCCCAGTGTAAGTTGAAAAACTCTTTCGGTATACCGTCAACATCAGGCGACTTGCCCTTTGCCATGCCATCTAGGGCCTCTTTCCCATAAATCGTGGTCGACACCAATACGCGTATCAACCAAAACGAAGATGTCAGGTGGTTTCTTAATCCATGCCTTCAAGTGCTTCTGTTTCCCCCTTTTGCCGAGCCCGTTGACATTGAGCTCGCGGATCGTCAAGTACAAGGCCTTATTCATTGGGAAACCTCCGAGAAGCCCTAAGCATCCACGGGCTGAATGAGACACGGACAACGGTCTCATAAACAGCAAGTACAGACATTGAGAGACCCCTAAAACCAGGTACGTCGCTAAGTGCCGCCACCTCTCTTCCACTACTGCAGATGCACACTTCACCACAAACAGCTGGAACGCTTAGACCCCGTCCGTCTTCTTGATCACCACTGGAACCCCTGCATCTCTGCCATTGCGTGACAATGTCAGAGGTCCACTGGTGTTCCCCGATTGATCCTAGGGATGGGTTATAGGCACATTGGCCTGGGGGGTTATGGGCGCACTGACCCACTACTTAAAAAGCCCTTTTATCCCAGTGGTCTAGTGACTGGGATTCTGACATGGTATCAGAGTGAAGGTCTCGGGTTCGAATTCCGGTGTATGCACTTCGGGCATCCCAGTGCGGGGGGGTGTCAGAGGTCCACTGGTGATCCCCGATTGATCCTAGGAAAGGGTTACAGGCACATTGGCCTGGGGGGGTATGGGCGCATTGACCCACTACTTAAAAAGCCCTTTTATCCCGGTGGTCTAGTGACTGGGATTCTGGCAGACAATGAAGCCGCCGCGCCTTACTTTGCCGGCTTTGTGACATACTCCTTCTTGAATGCAATCATCTTCTGAAAAAACTTGCTGTCGCAGCCCCCAACGAACGCAACCCCCCTTTGTGGCGTGGGAATGCGATGTGAGCAGACGCCTGCTCGAAGCGATTCCCCTGCGCCTTCTCGCATGCCGTCTGGACACATATCCACTCCTCCCGTGCACCTCCAGTAGAGGTAAGAATAACAGCATGGTCCTTCATGATCCGCTTCATGAGATCTGAAGCTTTCAGGGACGCAGCTGCGGGGTGAGGAGGGCAGACAACCGTCAGTATAAAGAAAGACTTGGGAGGTAAGCGGTAAAGGGTACATCAGCAGCTGGAAAGAAGCTCCTCCACTTGTACCATTCATCTCGTGAACCTTTTTGACGGAAAGGTTCCAGTTTGTGAAGTTCTCCTACCTCGGGGCGACGTTACGGTCATGGTACCGCGTCAAGTGCTGGCCACCGTAGAAGTCGCAGGTCAGTGATGGGAAGTGGAGCAGATACTGCTTCCCCGTAGTCGGGTCCTCCACGAAATACCTCCAGCGATACTCATCGTCAGCATGAGGGGTGACCAGCCCGCGGATTCGGTCAGTATCCAGTCCAGTTACAGGATCAACCGTCCGATGGAAGCCGAAGCCACTGCGAACGCACTCCTACCACGAGGGATAGCAACGCGTTGACCTGGTCCGGGGTCAACGCCTGCATGAACACAGGGGCGGTCGTCGCGTCAGAAGAGGAGACCGCCGTCCGCCTCCTCTGGCGCTGACGCGACGGTCCAGCCGTGGGTGCTGGCGTGTGCTCGGCGTCAGTGGCATGTGCCGCACCAGCGGCCGTCGCCACTTGCGCCTCAGGTGCCACTGGCGCCACTGGCACCTCAAGCGCCACTGGCGCCGAAGGGTGCTGCTGGGCGTTGGCCGATTTGTTGACCTCGAGCCTGCCCAGCAGCACGTCCACTGCAGTCGGGGCGGGCGGTCCATCTTCTGCCCGTCGCTTGTTACGGCGTTCGCTCGCCAAAATCGCGGGTGTTACGGTCGTTGTCGGAGGCGGGGTTGGACGAGTTGCCATTGTTAAGTGTCGGCGTCGGTGCCATCGTTGAGCGATTGAAGTTAAAAATGTCGCTGAGTAGAGTCGAAGGTGACTCGCCTCTAGGAAGCGATTTTGTTCTAGCCAGCTTGGACGAAGGGATGAACTACGTCAGCGGAAATGTTGAGTGAGCCGTTTGAAAATCGAGAAACGTGGGTGGAGGGAATGAACTCCAACCCACGGTTTTTGTAGTTGGAGAAGGGCGTTTAGCGCGCTTCGACGATGCCAATTGTGCAGTACAAGCAGCTTCGCTTTCACAATACACAATTTAAAAAACACAATGTGTGTTTAAAAACTAAAATTTTGTGAGACTTTCAGACCACTTTGTCCCGTCCCATAAAAGCCCAAACCCCAAATCTTCCCTCGCATTCCCAAATATTGCAAGGGCCCAGATTCTGATACTCACATACGCACTCCCGCTTAGAGCACGCATCGCGCGCATTTCCCGCTGTTGATGGAGATGCACCGCCTGCCTTCCCTCTCGTCGCCTCACGGTCTCACTCGATTCTCCTCCCTCGCACCGTTCTCGCCGTTCCACGCTTTCTCCGCCACTCGCGCGCCCGTTTTTCCTCACGCGCGTTTCCCCGTGATCTCCCGCTCCACTCCGCACGCGTCCTTGCGCGAACTGAGCACCCTGTGCCAAGCACCCGTTGCGCAGCCCGCTCCTTCTCCCGACGGCTTCCGATCGTGCATCCGCGCGCGCGCTTCCCCCGGCGCTCTTTTCCGCTGCACCCCCTCAGCAAGCGGAGGCTGGCGCCGGTGGCGGTCGGATGCGCGCGCGCCCCGACACCAGGCGGAGGCCTGCCCGGATGGGGCAAGGGGGATCGCGGAAGGGTTGGCGGTGTGGAACGGTGGCGCGAACAGTAATGATCGCAGCTATGCTCCGCCGCGGCTGAGGTGAGAGGGGGGGGGAAGGGAATTGGGGGTGTGGGGGAGAGGGAAGCCCCAGTCGGTTGGCGGAGTGACTCCAAGGCAAGGTGGCAGCGGAGCGGTGCATGCACGCTGGCATGTGCGCTGGCATGTGCGCTGGCATGTGCGCTGGCATGTGCGCTGGCATGTGCGCGTGCTGCTTGGGGGGCAAAGGCAGGGGCGATAGTGGCGATGGGGGCAATGTGTGCGAAAGGGGCGGGCATTGTGGGAGGTTTTCCAATGTTCCAATGCAGCACGCACACACGACATGAGGGGTAGACGGAGCTTTGCTGAAGCGAAGCGAGGTAACGGGAGTGAGTGCAGAAGTTGCTGCAGCAGGAAGGTAAGAGAGACAGGGAGCGGGGCGATGGTGGGGGAGCGTGTTCTCTCTTGCAGCGACCTCCCTGCTCCCTTCTCTCCCCACTCTCCCCCACCATCCATCGCCCCGTTCCCTCCTTCCCTCCCATTCCCATCGTGGCGCCCATGACGGGCTGGCCGGCCGGACTCTTGAGAATCGCTCACAAGGACTAGCCAACAATGTTTCTTTTTGGCGCCTCAGAAATTGTTTCTTCCGCCATCATCGCCTCTCTCCTCGTAAACATATACTCCCCCCCTTCCCCTCCCATCCCATCGCCCGTCTCCTCTCCTATTCCCCCTCTCCCTCTCTTCTTCCAACCATCGCCCCTCTTCCCATCCCGCCCCCTCCTTCCGGCAGTTTGGCGCCCATGATGGAGTGGACGAACTGCCACTACCACCATGCTTTATCAGACGCCTCACACATAGGCCCCTCTCCCCTGCCTTCGCTCCTGCCCTTCTCCTCCTGGCACCGTGGCGCCCATGATGGACTGGACGAACTGCCACTACCACCAGATTGATTATTCTGGCCTGTCACAAATACGCCCCTCTCCCATTCCCATCGCCCCTGCCCTCCTCCCCTCTAGCAGTGTGGCGCCCATGATGGACTGGACGAACTGCCACTACCGGCAGCTCTTTCTCGAGGCACCTCAAAATCATACATAGACTACTCTCCCCACCATCGTCCCTCTCTGCTCCCACCTCTCTCCATATCCCCTCCCTACCAGCGTGGCGCCCATGATGGACTGGACGAACTGCCACTACCGGCAAGTTTCTACATAGACCCCTCTCCCCATGCCGTCGCCCCTGCCCTTCTTCCCCCTGGCAGCGTGGCGCCCATGATGGACTGGACGGACTGCCACTACCGGCAGCTGGCGCGGCTGATGAGTGCACACACATGGCTGTACACGGAAATGGTTGTTGACAACACGCTGCTGCACCAGCAGCCCCACCTGGTGAGAGCGAGGATTTCTAACTTGTCTTTGTGGAAGTGTGGGCGCGGCTGATGAGTGCACACACGTGGCTGTACTCAGAGATGGTCCTCGATAACACGCTGCTGCACCAACAGCCTAACCTGGTGGGACGGAGGGTTTCTTAGTTGTGTTTGTTTGTGGGGCTGTGTCTTTGTGGGGGTGTATTGATTTAGCTTGTATGTGTGTGTGTGTGTGTGTGTGTGTGTGTGTGTGTGTTTGTTTGTTTCTGTGTGTGGTTTGGTGAGGAGGGTTTGGGTGGGTGGGTGGGGGGCACTGTGCAATGCACAGGATGGTATTTCTCTACTTAGCATGGGAATGAATGGCATGCCTGGCACGGAACACGCCTACATTGTCTGGGTACTGCGACCCACTTCAACACAACTGCTTTCGACAGCTTCCCATCTCCCCTCACACCATCAGCAACCTTTTTTAGCTCTGTACTTTTCTTCCTTGCTCCGTGCTCCCATGCTCTCCCATGCTCCCATGCTCCCTTGCTCCCGTACTCCGCTGTTCTCTTTTCTCCTTTGCTCCCTTGCTCCCTTCCTTTGCTCCCTTGCTCCCTTCCTTTGCTCCCTTGCTTTCTTGCTCGTGTGCTCCCTTGTTTCTCTCTTTGCCCACACCCAACCCAACTCCCCATGCCCAACCCCTCCCCTGCCCAACCCCTCCCCTGCCCAACCCCTCCCCTGCCCAACCCTTCCCCTCCCCTGCCACCAGGACCGCTTCCTGCTCTCCTCGCCGAGCGCCCTCTCGTGCTGCAGCTAGGCGGCAGCGACCCTCTTTCAAGTCGACTGAAAAGACAGCTTTCCCCCTTACTTCCCTCCCATCCCTCCCTCCTCACCAACTGCCACCAGGACCGCTTCCTGCTCTCCCCAGCCACCCAACGCCCTCTTGTGCTGCAGCTAGGCGGCAGCAACCCTCCCTCGCTCGCAGAGGCCACGCGCCTGGCGCTGCCATATGCATACGATGAGATCAACCTCAAGTGAGTGAGACCTGCTGCTTGCTTCCTCCCATTGCCTCCTGACTTTCAAGTCGACTCAAAAGCCCCTCGCTCGCAGAGGCCACGTGACTGGCTGCGCTGCCAAGTGCGCTGCGCTGCGCTGCGCTGCGCTGCCATACGCATACGATGAGATCAACCTCAAGCGAGAGCTTTCTGCCTGTTGGCTCAGCTTGCCTCCTGTTATTGATGCGCCTCATAAAGAAGCCACGCACCTAGAGCTGCCATACACTTACAATGAGATCAACCTCAAGTGAGAACTTTTCTGCTTGTTTGCTCACCTTGCCTCCTGTTATTGAGGCGCCTCATAAAGAAGCCACGTGCTTGGCTCGGCCCACGGTGTCCCTTACACACCCTCGGTGTCCCCTTGGCCTTCCACTTCCAGGCTGCTACATTCTCGCTCGTTCCCCCATGTCTCTGCTGTCATGCCACGCTCCCCTCCCCTCCCCTTTCCTCCCCTCCTCTTTTGCTTCATACTGTCTTTGATTGCACCCTCCCCTTCCCTGTCCTCCCGCCCCCTCCCTTTTCCTCCCCTCCCCTTTCTTCTCCCACCCCAAACCCCCCCACACCGCTCCCCCCGCCTCGTCTCCTCCGTCCTCCCCCCTTGCCATCGCCCCCGCCCTTCACACCAGCTGCGGCTGTCCCAGCCCTGCCGTGTCAGGCCATGGCTGTTTTGGTGCGCGCCTCATGCTCTCACCCAAGGTGCGCTTTCCCGTCATTACCACCACATCTCATGAGGTGACTCTGAGTCGACTCAAAAGTCACCCCGTGTCGGGCCATGGCTGTTTCGGTGTGCACCTCATGCTCTCACCCAAGGTGCGCTTTGCTCGATGATTGATCAGCACCAAATCTCACTAGCTGGCAGGGAGGGGAGGGGTATGGGAGGGGTATGGGAGGGGTGTGGGGTGGTGAATGTGCCCTTTTGAGTCCACTCAAACTGCTCCGTGTTGCCACTCCTTGGTGCACTCCAACCGTTTCTTTCACCTGCTGCATGCTCCCATCCCACCCATCTCTCCTGCTCCTGTGCAACCATGCCTTCCTATGCCTCGCAATTCCCCTTGATCCCCATGACCCCATCCCAGCCATGTCCCCGTGGCCTCATTCTTCAGGTGTGTGTTTTTTGAGAATTCTAAAAAAAAACAAACTCAGCCATGTCCCTGTGGCCTTTTGGGAATTCTCAAAAGTGAATCCCAGCCATGTCCCTGTGGCCTCATTCTTCAGGTAGGGCACCTCACACCCATCTCTCTCCCGCCCTCAAACCTCTGCCTCTTTCCTCCCTTCCTCCCCACAGGTGGTGGCGGGCATATGTGCGGCGATGGGGGAGGTAGCGGGGCCAGCAGGCGTGCCAGTGACAGTGAAGTGCCGCATAGGCGTGGACGACTGTGACTCGTACGAGCAGCTGCGTAGGTGCCTGCCATGATGCTTAGGTGCCACGGCTCTGGTGGTGTGCAAGGGAAGAAAAGGGAAATGTGTGGGCATGTTGAAGGGAGGACTCTTAGGCGTGCCGGTGACAGTGAAGTGCCGCATAGGCGTGGACGACTGTGACTCGTATGAGCAGTTGCATACGTGGTTTGGGGGAGGAACAGATGGGTTCTATTTGGGAGGGCTGGGGAAGTGCAGAGGGGCAGTGACAGTGAAGTGCCTCGTAGGCGTGAACGACTGCGATTCATACGAGCAGCTGCATGTGTGCATGCTTAAGTGCCACGGCTCTGGGTGACTTTTGAGTCGACTCAAAACTCACCTCGAACGTGCGTGCCATGATACTTAGATACCACACGGCTCTCTGGTGGTGGGCACGGGGAGGAAGGGGGAGTGTGTGGGTGTGAGTTTCTAGTGCAGCTGGGGCCTTAAACAGTGGCGCTGAAAAGGCTTTTGAGTCAGCTTTTGACCTTTTGCCTGCCTGTCTCTGTACCAAATCCTTCTTTCAACCTCAGCCATATTACTCGCGGTCCCTCTTTTAACCCACTTTTGAATCTTATGTTTCCTGCCATTACCCCTTCTTCCCTTTTGTCATCATCCATTCACACTGCTCCAACTCCCCTTCCCGTCTCCCATCACTCACATTCTCTCCCATCCCGTCCCATCTTTCCTTGTTCCCATCCCCCCACCCAGCTCCCCCCAGAACCCTCGTCCCGCGCCTGCATTCTTACCCCAACAACCGTATCCTCCTCACTCAGCCCCATTCGTCGCTTTCAATGATTCCTAGAATCCTTCCCGCCCACCTCCAATCCCTGTAGTTCACCAGGCGAATTCATATGAACGGTGTCCTCTTCTCACTCTCCCCCATGCGTCGTTTTAGAAAATTCCCCAATCCCCCGGCCAACTCCGAACCCCATCGTTCACCAGACGAGTTCGTATCAACGGTGTCGTTGCTCTCCCCCGTGCATCACTTCATCATCGATATCATCCCCTCCTCCCCCTCCCACCAACCCCAAACCCACCCTCCCACTAGATGAGTTTATATCGACGGTGTCGTCGCTCTCCCCCGTGCGTCACTTCATCATCCACGCGCGCAAGGCGCTGCTCAAAGGCCTCTCGCCCGCACAGAACCGCACCGTGCCGCCCCTCAAGTGCGTACGTGCCGCCCCTCAAGTGCGTACGTACCGCCCCTCAAGTGCGTACGTGCCGCCCCTCAAGTGCGTACGTGCCGCCCCTCAAGTGCGTACGTGCCGCCCCTCAAGTGCGTACGTGCCGCCCCTCAAGTGCGTACGTGCCGCCCCTCAAGTGCGTACGTGCCGCTCCTCAAGTGCGTACGTGCCGCTCCTCAAGTGCGTACGTGCCGCTCCTCAAGTGCGTACGTGCCGCTCCTCAAGTGCGTACGTGCCGCCCCTCAAGTGCGTACGTGCCGCCCCTCAAGTGCGTACGTGCCGCCCATCAAGTGCGTACGTGCCGCTCCTCAAGTGCGTACGTGCCGCTCCTCAAGTGCGTACGTGCCGCTCCTCAAGTGCGTACGTGCCGCTCCTCAAGTGCGTACGTGCCGCCCCCCTCGAGTGCGCACACAGTGCGCGTTCGTGTGGAGCAAGGATGCAGATTAATCAACCCACACATGCATATGCGATGTGGTTTCCTCCTCTCTGGCTACACGAAGTGACTTTTGTGTCTCATTCAGTCTGCTCTCTCCTCTGCCATTGTTCCTCTTGCCCGACATCCCCCACCCGCCCATGCCATGCCGCACCCCACGCATGCAGATACGAGTATGTATTTGCGCTGCTCCGTGACTTCCCTTCCCTCTCTTTCACTCTCAACGGCGGCGTCACTTCCCTTGAACAGGTCGGCCCATCCTGCTCCACGCCTTCTCAGCCGCTTTCTCGTGATTTGCCTGCCTGTTTCGCTGCTTCTTTCCTGCTTTCAATTCACACCTGCATTCTCTGCCTGTTTTTGCTGCTGCTGCTGCTTTGCTTTTATAAGTTGCATGGCTATGATGTGATGTCACCATCATCATGTATGTATGCCATGGCGTGACCGTGACGCACCATCAATGCTGCAACGCTCCAAGGCATCCTCATCTGTTTCGCGCTCATGCTCATCTCTACTCTCACTCTCACTTCTCTAGTTACATCTTTTATTTCCTTCTCCTTCCATCCCCAACGTTTCCCATGATTCCCCGCATCCTTATGCACCACCCACCTCCCTGGCATGCCACCAGGCCAGTGAGCTGCTTGCCAAGGGCGTGCATGGAGTCATGATCGGCCGGGCTGCCTACAACACGTCAGTCTTCCCATCTCCCCACCGCCCCCTCCCTCCATCCCTCCCTCCTTCCCTCCTTCCCTCCCTCCACCCTAACCCCCTCTTCTCTATTCCTTCGCACCGTCTTTCACTCTCTCTCTCCCCTCGTCTAACGGATGTGCTCCAGTCCAGTGCATGCATATACAACAACACGTATAACAACCATGTACGCGATTTGTGTGCTGCTGCACATGCATGCGCCATGTGCAATTGTATGTGCCTTGCCGCAAGAACGCACTCTTACACACATAGCTGCCCATGCACACATCTGCACAGAAATGCGTCTCTCAAGAGAATCTTCGCATGCGCATGTGCTCCTCATCTCCTCACACACTCGCATGCTCACACGCTTCTCTCCCCTCCTGTTCCCACCAGCCCATGGCACATCCTCTCCACTGCCGACACGACCATCTTTGGGGCTCCCATCAACCCTTTGGAGTCCAGGCGAGAGGTGGGCCGACGAAGGTGACCAAGGTTTGAGTCGATTCAAAAGTCACCCCGTTGGAGTCCAGGCGAGAGGTGGGCAGACCAAGGTGACTTGTGGATCGATTCAAAAGTCACCCCGTTGGAGTCCAGACACAAATATGCCACAAGTGAAGAATCAAACACACGCACTGCCTGCGTTAGCGGAGATGCCTGCGTTAGCGGAGATGCCCGTGTTAGCGGAGATGCCTGCGTTAGCGGAGATGCCTGCGTTAGCGGAGATGCCTGCGGCAGCTGGGACTCTAAACGCAAGAGAACAGTGGGTTGTGCGCATCTCAAATCAGGTCAAAGAAACGTGAACGTGCCTTAGCTGCTAGTCCAGCAGCCGAAAACAACCACTGTACGAGGCAGTTACGAAGACCAGCCCCCTTCCTACAACTGCAAGTACAAGCCACAGCACCCCATATCCACGCCCCATATCCACGCGCCATATCCACTCCCCATATCCACGCCCCCTGTCACACTGCCTGCTTGCGTCTGAGAAATCTGCCTGTGCATACATGCCTCCTCGTCTTCCTCCTCCCTATTCCACCTTTTGAAGCGTCGTTTACACATCACTGCATGCATGCACACACATGCATGCACACACATGCATGCACACACATGCATGCACACACATGCATGCACACACATGCATGCACACACATGCATGCACACACATGCATGCACACACATGCATGTACACTTGACACCCACTCTCTCTCTCTCTCTCTCTCCCAGTACACTCATTCTGCGCTCATCTAGTTTCACCAGAAGCATTTCTTCAATCATTCTAATAATCCGCCCTCCATGCCCTGCTTTCCGCCCTCTCTCTCCCCCGTCCCAGCTGCTGCATCTATACGCGCAGTACGCCGACTCAGCAGTGAACCAGTTTCACCTGAACTGAGGCCTTTAAGCACCTAAACAAGCTGCCCTCCATGCCCTGCTCTCCGCCCTTTTCCCCCATCCCCCCCAGCTGCTGCATCTATACGCGCAGTACGCCGACTCAGCAGTGAACCAGTTTGGCCCGGGAAGGCCCAACGTGCGCACACTAGTCAAGGTGAGAGGCATACGCGCAGGGCAGGAGGCATGGCAGCCTGGCACGGGGAGGGGATGGTAATGTGGGGTGTTCATGGGATGTGATGCGTAAAGAAAGGTGTTTACTCAGAGGCATGTGAAGGTGACAGGAAGGCGGGGTGGCGGGGTGGCATGTGTGGGATGTGACGTGATGTGTGACTCAACAAACCTGTGGGTATCGGGATGGGGTGGACGTCCAGGTAGGTAGTCACTTTTTAGAACTCTCAAGAGCAGCATGACTGCACTGTGAGGAAGTGCGGCGGTGCTAGGGTTTCGAAGACCTTTCACTTCTCCAGTGGCTTGCTGCAGAGGTGGTTCCAGTGGCTTGCTGCAGAGGTGGTTCCAGTGGCTTGCTGCAGAGGTGGTTCCAGTGGCTTGCTGCAGAGGTGGTTCCAGTGGCTTCGAGCCTTGTAGTGTAGACCAGGCGAGAAGCAGTTCACAAGGTCTTTTAGCAACTGAGAAGCACAGAGACTTTCTGTGGTCTTGTCCTGAGGCCTCCTGTGGGCCTGGACGACGCATCAGTGTGATGATGGGCACAGGAAGATTATCGTCATCTCCTGTGGTCTCGTCCTATGCCTGTGCCATGCCTACACATGCATGTCTGTCCCTTTGATGATGGGCATTACTCGACCCACTCAAAACATGCAGCTCCCACACGCCCATGCAGCTCCCACGCGCCAGGTATTTTTGAGAATTCTCAAACACACCCTTTTCACTACGTGTGGAGCTGCTCTCCTCTCTGCCTACTTCAAGTCTTGTTCTTCCGTGTAGTCATGAGCTACTCTTCCCACTCTCCCTTCTCTCCTCTCTCTTAGGCATGAGCAACAGCACAAGTCGAGCCTTGCTTGACTCGTTATAACCCGACTCAATAAGCTACCCTCGCCCCGTCCCGCTCCCCCTTCTTACTACTTATACACGCACGATACCCAATGCATTCGTTTTTTATCACGATTGAAGTTTTGGCAGAATCTGCTCATGTATATTGTCTCTTTCCCCCCCTCAACCCCTTTCTCTCCTCTCCTCTCTCTCCTCTCCTCTCACTCCGCTCCTCACCCTTCTCTCTCCCCTCTCTCCCCTCACCCCCCTCTCTACCCTCTCCCATCTCTCCCACCTCTACCATTGCTCCCACTCCCTTCTCTCCTCTTTCTCCACTTTCCCTCCTCTCGCTCCTCCCACCCCTCCCATCGCTCCACTCTCCTACTGGGCAGCCTCTGCTAGGTCTCTTCCACTGTGAGGCAGGGGCGGGCAAGTGGAGGAGACTCATTGACACTGAAATCAGACAGGCCAAGGTCAGAATGTGCAACGTTTTCCTCCCTTCCCCGTCGCTAGTCGCCGCTTGCTACGTCCTGTAACGGTACTGATCATGTCTTAGGGTATTACATTGCGAGTCCTCCCCCCCACAACCCCCTTGTTTTCAACAGACTGTGGAGCAGCTCCTCTCTCTCACCCTGCATGCTTTCCCTCCACACGTCCTCGACGCCCCCCCTTCCTCCTTCCTCTCACCCCCTCACACACCCCCTTGCACTTCCCGACCGACATTACCGTCTGCTCTCTCTGCGGGTGGTTGATCCTTGGGTGGTGGAATGGAGAGTTTGGAATTAGGGAAACAGGGAACGTTCCTGGACCTATAAGAACACTTCATTCATCCATGGGACTTTCTCTTCATGTATGTTGTAGCATGTATCTAAAGGTTGCAGCTTCTCATATGAGACCACTGATACCGATAGCGGTTGACCAAGTGGAAGGGTAGCAGTAGGGAAACATAATCCGTGGTAAATGCTGAAGCTGCTGGTGCCGCCGGTGAGTATGGATGGTGTAAGGCGGTTAAAGCCACTGGGGAGGAGAGAAGTGACAGAAAGGCTGGGAAAAATGATGACTCGTACTAACAAAAGACTTCACAAGGGAGGCCGTCCACAGGGCTTGAGCAGAAATTAGAACCTACCCTGACCTCTTGGGCAAAAAAACGATTGTTCAGGATCCTGTTTTTAGCATTTCTAGCTTGGCCTAAGTACCCCCTCGGTGTTGTATGTTGGAATTAAGGTTAATTCGGGTTGCTCCAATAAACATATGTAGTGGTACATCTACACTATGGTAGTGTAGAATACATTGGTTGGGTTGGGAGAACTTGTGGTGTACACTCTTTAGAGTGGACCACCTCCCAAACCCTATAGGTTAGGGTTCTCTCTTGTTGGCATTTCACTTTTGGAAACCACTTTGGTTCTAGCATGGTTCATGCCCAAGTGGGCTCCTACGATTCCTAGGCCTTAGGAGGAGGTTCTAAGACTACTAAAGCTTCCGCTAGTATCTTAGTCCATTCTAATATGGTATCAGAGCAAGGAAGGCCTAGCAATCTGTTGGAAAAGGAGTTACTCAAGACATTGGACCATAAGATCTTGGTGGAAGCTAGTTAGCTTCCATTCCTCCCGAAGGGCTGCCGAAATTGCACCGTGGCGGACTCTGGACGTGGGAGGGGAGGAGGAGAGAAGAAAACTGCTGGAAATCGTGTAGATCCGTTTGGGAGGACGAGAAGAGCGGCATCCATCCACGGAGGCGCTCAGTCAACTCTGGCCGATCAAGACGTGCAGCATACCGTTGGAAAGGTCTCAGCACGCTCTACAACAATTGCCTCAAGGTTGTTACTAATCGACGAGGGGATCGGACGCAATTCGCGAAAAACTGCCGGCGGACGAATTGGAAAATCGCGAATCGGGGAAGATTTAAAGCGCGGAAAAAAGATTGGAGGCCAGACGCCGATAGAGGAGGCCAGGGCGCATCCAACAAGCCAAAAATCGGGAGAAACGGTTGAGTCTTCGTCGACGGGAAATCGGCCAACTTCGACGAGTTTAAGCGGCCAGCTTGGAAGCGGGATCCAGGAGCGCGATACATTATCGGAACGGTCTTGGAGCAAAGATTCATCTGAGACAAACGGCTCATCATTCGGAGGTTCGAGCGCGGAGTTACGCTCCAAAAACCAAGAGGGGGCAAATCTGTCCACATCGTCTCCACCACCGCCGCCGTTGCCTCCACCACCACCTCAACGTCAATCTCCAGAGTGTCTGCCGCAAATGGATCATGACTCAGGTGAAGGAAAGCTGGAGAGTGCGCCAAAGTTCGACGGGAGCGACTATTGGACTTGGAGCTTCCGATTCGAACAATGGGCAGAGGCACACGATCTATGGGGGTACTTTGATGGTTCGGAGGAGCGGCCTGCATCGGGTGACGCACGGCTGAAGTGGGAGAGAAAAAATCAGAAGGCATTCGCTCAATTCTGCAATGCCTTGGTGCCAGATGAGCTAATTCGCTTGGTACGGGAGTTCGGCGGCAAGACCGAGTTGGGCAGCGCACCTGTTGATGGCGGAGCAAGAGCGGTCACCCGAATTCCTGCAGGCACAGCAGCGGCATACATACGAGTGAAGGAGTTCTACCTTCAGCGTGGATTGTGTAACCGGATGGCACTCTCTGAGGAGCTCTCTTCATTGAAGATGAAAGAGGGGGAGGGGGTGGCTGCATACTGGGCGCGTGCCGAGGACTTGAGGTCCAAGTACTTGGCTGCAGGAGGAAAGGAGGAGGTTGAGGAGTGGATGATGAGGATACTCAAAGGACTACCTCCTCACTTTGAGATGCTGAAGGTGGTGTTGAACAACCAGTCATCATCGCTCACTAAGGATCAGCTGCTTACCTCCTTGAGGAGCGAGGAGATGCGGATTGGTGTCGCACCAAGATCGGATGGTGTAGCCACATTTGGAGCGGGTACGAAACTGGGCAGCAGCGGCAGGGGAAATTGGGTCAAGGGAGGAAAGCATGGAGACAGCGGTAGCAGCAGTGACACCAACTCGGGCAGATGGGGTCAAGGGAAAGGCAAAGCGGGAGTGCTTGATTTCCCTTGGGGGTCCAAAGGCATGGCTCCTCGGGGGTTGTGTCATGGCTGTTGGGATGAGGGACATGCATGGCAGCGATGTCCTCATCGACCTAAGGGAGGCATTCCGGCATTCTTACAGCGGGGGGGTCGTGGGTCCAACGGCAAGGCACAGGTGGCGGATGAGGAGGAGCAGGATGACAAGGCAGAGGCAGTGGTTGGAGAAGCAGTTGCAGCAGTGGGAGAGGAGCAGCCGCGAGAGGGGTGGTGGATTGACAGTGGGGCCAGCCACAACTTTACTCCTTATGCATCGGACTTCAAAAGTAAGCTTCAACCACCAGAGGTTCGGGGAGTTAGATTGGGAGATGGACGGGTGGTGAAAGCTGTTGGCATGGGTGAGGTGCCAGTGGTTGGTGCTGGAGGTCAGCTGCTGAGGATTCAAAAGGTCCACCTTGTGCCTGAGATGCACACGCGTCTGCTGTCAGTCCCACACCTCACCTCTCGAGATGTCATTGTCACATTCAAAGGCAAGAGATGTGTTCTTCAACGGGGGGAGCGGGTGTTGGCGATTGGAGAAAAGGAGAGGGGAAGGGACCATGGATTGGTGCGGATGTTTCTTCCTCTTGCTCAGGGCACACAAGGCAGTGCTCTTGCAGCTAAGTCGTCCTCCTCATTTTCCCCATTGACCCTTGCCCATCGCCGCCTTGGTCATACCGCCCCCACAACATTGCAACAGATGGCTCGGGGGAACAGTGTACAGGGCTTGGAGATTGGGGGGGGGAACACTGATTGTTCCCCATGTGAGCCCTGCTTATTGGGAAAGTCGGCTCGGAAGCCGTTTCCCCATGAGGCGTCTCGGGCACTTGGGCCTTTGGATGAGGTCCACATGGATTTGTGGGGGCCGGTGCGCACACCATCACTGGGAGGAGCGGTATATGTCCTCAGTCTCATTGACGACTTCACCAGACGAGTTTGGTCGTTCCCCCTCCCCAACAAGGAATCGGCCATAGTTGCAAAAGTCCTTCGCCAGTGGCATAAGGACGTGGAGTTGGAGTGTGGGCGGAAGCTGAAGGCTGTTCGCTCGGACAGGGGTGGCGAGTTCTTGGGGGAAGCTGTAAAAGCATGGAAGGCGGAGTTTGGCATTAAAACTCAATTGAGCGTCGCAGATACACCGCAACAGAATGGGGTTGTGGAGAGGTGGCACAGGACGATGGCAGAGGGGATTCGCACATTGTTGGTCGACAGTGGTCTCCCTGCTCGCTTGTGGGGTGAAGCATTGATGTGGGTCGTGTGGGTTAAGAACAGGGTCACCCACAGTGCTTTGCCTGCCTCCATCACACCAATGGAGGCGTGGTCCGGCCAGAAGCCGCATGTGGGCATGGCTCGGATTTGGGGTTGCATGGGGAGTGTCATGTTGCATGGGCATGAGAAGGGTGGCAAGCTTGATGCACGGGCTGTCATGTGTGTCTGTGTTGGGGTGGACATGGAGAGCAAGGGTTGGCGCATGCTGGACCCTTCTATCATGCGCATTCGCATTGCTCGGGATGTTGATTTCCTTGAGAATGTGATGTGGAAGGATTGGGACAAGGCAAAGGAATTTGGGGAGCTTCTGCAGGATGCAGCTGCAATTTCCCAACTCCTCCCTCTTCCTCTCTCGCCACCTTCAGCAACGGCTGACGACGTTGAGATGCCACTTTCACCACTGCCACCGGCACCGCTGAGTGTGTCGGTGCAGCAGCAGCCCACCCCTCTGCAGAAGCTCAGTGGCCCCTCGGTCATTCAGCGGAGATCCGCTACACAGGCTACTTCCTCTTCCTCCTCCTCTGGTCAGCGCTCTATCCCTCTCTCTACGGGTGCCCCTCCGTCACCAGCGACTACCTCCCCACCACCGGTTACGGGTTTGCAGGTGCTTGGTGTCCAGTCTGGTACAGGTGGTGAGGAGGTAGGGGGGGATGCTGGTGTGGTTGAGGGCATGCTATGTTTGGCCAGGGAGGTGGAAGGTGTTGCACTGGCAGGTGTGAGCACAGGTGATGTCCCACGCACACTCGCTGAGGCCCTGCGTGGCCCTGAGGGCCCTGCGTGGAAGGCAGGCGCTGAGAAGGAGGTAAATGCAATGCGCACTATGGGTGTATGGGATCCAGAGCCGGTTGACTTACCTCCAGGTAAGAAGGCCATTGGGGTCCGGTACGTTTTCCGCAGGAAAACTGACAAGGAGGATAAGGTGGTACAGCACAAGGTTCGCCTTGTTGCTAAGGGGTACACTCAGGAGCCTGAGAAGGACTATGATCAGGTATTTGCCCCTGTGGGCAAGCTGACCTCAGGTCGGGTGCTTCTTGCAGAAGCCGCGGTAAAAGGGTGGCATGTACAACAGGAGGATGTTGATCATGCTTACCTCAATGCACTCCTTCAAGAGGAAGTGTATGTGAGGCAACCTGAGGGATTTGATGATGGTACAGGTAGGGTGCATCGCTTGCGCAAAGCTCTCTATGGGCTCAAGCAAGCGCCTCGTGCTTGGAATGAGGAGATTGGTACCACCTTGATTGCAGCAGGGTTTGACCGCAGTGCATGTGATGAGGCTCTGTACATCAGGTTTGTGGATGAAGAGCCAGTGTATGTATTGGTGTATGTGGATGACCTCTTGCTTGTGTCTCCACGCTTGGAGCTGATCGGTCAGGTCAAGGAGGTGCTTGCTCAGAGGTACCAGATGAAGGATCTAGGTGAGGTATCCATGTACCTTGGTGTGGAGGTTCGCAGGTCGGTCAAGGATGGGTGGTTGGAGATTGGTCAGGAGAAGTATGTCCGTGGTCTCCAGGGAAGGTTTGGTGATCTGCTAAAGGAGACCCATAGGGTGCATACTCCAATGTCACCCAATGATCTCTCTAAGATCAGGAATGGTACTTGGTCAACTGAGGAAGGTGTTGCAGCTGATGTCAAGGTGTACCAGAGTCTCATTGGCAGCTTGATGTATGCTGCTGTGACCACCCGTCCTGACATGTCTTTCACTGTCAACACCCTTGCACAGTCCTGCGTGGCACCAAGACGCATTCACATGCGCGCTGCACTGAGAGCACTCAGGTACTTGGTCGACACAGCTGATCGTGTCATCAGGTATGAGCGCCAAGGTGGTGAGCAGGTTGTCGGGTACACAGACTCGGATTGGGGTGGTGAGACTGATGGCAAGAGTCGCTCTGCCTACATCTTTAAGCTGGGAGGAGGAGCAATCAGCTGGTATAGCAAAAAGCAAGACAGTGTTGCAGCAAGCGTTTCTGAAGCTGAGTACAAAGCTCTATCGGAGGGGGCCAAGGAGGCCATTTGGTTGAGGAGTCTGTTGGCAGAGATGCATGTGGGGGATGGGGGGGCTATTCCATTGCTCTGTGATAATGAGGCAGCTGTCTCCCTTGCCCACAATCCCGTTCTCCATCAGCGCACCAAGCACATTAAGGTGGCATGGCACTTTGTACGGGATGCGGTGCGCCAGCAGGAGGTCGAGGTGCACTCAGTACGCTCCCACCTCCAGGATGCCGACATGCTCACCAAAGCTCTTCCAAGCTTGCAGCTGCATGAGAACCTGGAGCGCATCGGCATGCGAGTGATTGCTGCGAAGGCCAAGGCTTCATTCGCTGGAGGGGTTGTATTTTGATTTATGGGTGAACTTTAATGCTTAATGGAGCAAGGGGGGGTGTTGGAATTAAGGTTAATTCGGGTTGCTCCAATAAACATATGTAGTGGTACATCTACACTATGGTAGTGTAGAATACATTGGTTGGGTTGGGAGAACTTGTGGTGTACACTCTTTAGAGTGGACCACCTCCCAAACCCTATAGGTTAGGGTTCTCTCTTGTTGGCATTTCACTTTTGGAAACCACTTTGGTTCTAGCATGGTTCATGCCCAAGTGGGCTCCTACGATTCCTAGGCCTTAGGAGGAGGTTCTAAGACTACTAAAGCTTCCGCTAGTATCTTAGTCCATTCTAATATTGTAGTGGCACTACCATTGTCCAGACCACACCAGACCGACCGAGTCAGGGGAGGGGAGTTATTCCACTAAATTAATACTTAACCTGACCTAGCCCTCCTCGTCATCAGAGCTGCTGCTAAACCCACGTTGTCGTTGTTGCTGCTGCCATGTTCAGAATCTGCCTCTTCACCGTCCTCACTGACACTTTATTCTTCCCCTTTGCACTCCCTTCTCCAGTTAGGCCTCCTCTTGTTGCTGCTGCGCCACAAAACCACCACTTTACCCCATTCCATGTCATTATCAACCAGGCTCACGCGGACGAGGCTGGGGTAGTTCCTCCACTCTCAGTCCTTCGTTCGCAGCCTGGCCGCCAGGCCGAATTGAAATCCGAGCTCGCCTCGGGACTGTGATGCAGGATATAGTCGAATGTCCTCAGTTCCTTCTTGGCAGCTCACTTGTCCACACCTGCCACGTAGTGCAAGATTGGTTCTATTACGACACAGAAAGGAAACACGCCAAGTACGGTATTGACAAATGACAGAATGGGAAAGGCGATATAGCTTTGCTTACCCAGGAAAATGCCTGATCGCTTGCAAGCATGACTCGATGAGAGTTTCGAATTTGTTTATCGTTCGCTTGCGAAATTTTCAAGGCATTGCTCATCCGATGCCTTCGAAGTCGCCCAGGGACTTGTTATAGCCAGACAATGCCTCCTAGTGTAGCTCATAGCTGTGTTGCCTGCGGAGATAACTACTACAACGGGAGCTAGACTACGGGCTAGGCACGGGTGCACGTGTGATTTCTGCGCTCGTTGGTCCTTAGTCGTTTTCCTAGTGCACACACTGCTTGCTAGTTCACGGGGCAAATTGGCAAGAGTTTCACTAGAGAAAGTTGACAACAACTGTACAATCAGGTTGGCAAGACAAGACTACATCAGAGCTAGCATTCAGGTTGGTCGACTGCTAGCGCAGCATGGTCAACCGCGTTCCAACACGACTTAGTCGACCGCGCTCCAGCAGTGCAAAGTTGACGGCGTGCCAACACTACAGGTCGACGGCGTGCCAGCGTAGCTCCCGCAGTATAGCATCGCACCAGCTTCGCAGGTGCTCACAGATGAAGGGAGTGCTGAGCCTTGTCACCCGCACAACGCATACACCAAGTTGTCCTCGTGCTGACGACTGCACCTGCTTCGCCACATCGACCTTGGGATACCACCACCGAGGTTGGTCTTGCCAACATTGCCTGGGCGACCGTCGCACTCCTCCGAAGAACCTCGTCACCCAGGTAACCTGGTCGACCGGGCAACCACGTCGACCAGCTGCTCCTGTATGTGCCCGTCGATCTCTGAAGTTGACGTCCACCTCTTGTCGACCTCACCAGGTCGACCACTCCCTTGGTCGAACACGACCCCAAAGTCGGCTGCCAGAAGTTGGCGTCACCAAGTTGACGCTCGTGCAGTGGCTTCCGTGCAGGTTGACCTCCTTGTCAACCAACTCGCCCACTGCTGCAAGTCGGCTGCTCCCCTCGCACCCGACCACGAAGTCGGCTCCGCCCAAGCGAGGACGGGGCCAACACGCAACTCCTGTTGACATTGCCGCCCTCCCCGACCACACCATCCACCGTGACACAGCAACCGTGGTTGAGCTTGGCGAGGAAGCTCGTGAGATGTTGCTGTTGGCCGCCATTGAAGTTATCGTCGCACTTCATGTATCGCCCACAAAAGTTGATCATAGTGCGGCGATGCATAAGCTCCGTCTGTTTCGGGTCAGGGAAAATGCTCGCACGCGCCTAGGAGGAGCACCTCCAAGGAAACCTTACCAAACTCGTCAGCATCGTGGCGTTGCGGAAAATCAGCCTCTTACGCTAGCAGGGTATCCTCTACACCTGCGGCCTCTTCCGGGGTGACCACAATGGTCTACACGGCTGACGTCCTAGGTACCACTTAGGAAATGTGTTATTAAGTCGCTTACTTTGAAGGTATTTTGTGGGGTCGTCCATGCTCACGCATAATGCAAAGAGTCACTCTACACCGGCGTAGCTAAAATACGTGGTAAGGCACGAAAGGTACGAGTGATCGTAGCGTCTTTTGTGTTCTCTAGCACTTGCGTGTTCACGGGCAGAACGGCAAGAGTTTCACTAGCAAAAGTTGAGAACAATGATGCAAAACGCAATGACAAAGTTTACTACATCAGAAAACACAAACCAAGAAAGTCGGCCTCGAGCGCAACATGAGGGCGGCTTGCCAGGATGCGGTCGAAGAAGAAGCGAGCAGTTGCTTCAGTAGTAGCCGTGGCGTTGGTCGGGATGAAGTGATCCATTTTAGAGAACTTGTCAATCACCACGAGTATAGCGCCATGCCCTCGTGAGGTCGAAGGAAGTCCCGTGATGAAGTCGAGGCTAACGACCTGCCATGGCTGCTCCAGTACGGGCAGAGGCTTATGTAACCCTGCTTTTTCTGCTTGCTACTGTTAATCCGCTGGCACGTGTCGCATGAGGTGTCGAACTGCTGCACGTGTGCTGCCATCCGGGGCCAGTAGTAATATTTTACTATTCCCACTAACGTCTTGCTCCCGAAATGTCCCGCATATGGTACGTCTTCCTCTAGAAGGATCTGCCGTAGTGGGGCGTAGTCCGATACCCAAATCTTTCCTAAACCTTTCCTTACCGCTAAGTATTTCTCCCATTGTAACAGCTTCTGTTTCTCTGCCGTTGCGATCTCTGCATCCACGGAGTACCCATGTTGGAGTAGACCCTTGAGCAAAGGGTTCATCCCGTCGAGCTGGATGCCTGCTACATGACCGGGGCGGCTCAACGTGTCAGCTTTGTTGTGTAGCCCGGGTTTGTAGATGATGTCGTAGTGGAAGTGAGTTTCCAGGAAGTCCACCCACCGCACCTGTCGTCGTGAGAGTGTCGGCTGCGACTTCAGGTATTTGAGACTGCAGTAATCGGTGTAGACTTTAGTTTTGGCTCCCTCTAGGTAACACCTCCACGCCTTGAAGGCTATGACGATCGCTAAGGCTTCTTTGTCATGGATGGGGTAGTTCATTTCTGCTCCGTGTAGCTTCGCTGCAAACCGCGTCCGTGATCCTGCATCAGTACTGCTCCGACTGCTTGGTCACTAACGTCTGCTTCCACCACGTAGTCCTTGTCTGGATCCGGTAGGATGAGTACTGGCGCTGTAGTGAGTGTTGTCTGTAGCTGCTCCATGGCTTGCTGATGAGGGGTATCCCATTTGTAGGGCGTATCCTTTTTCAGTAGGTTGGTCAGTGACGCTGCTATCTTAGCGTACCGTGGCACAAACATGTTGTAGTAGTTGGCGAAGCCTAGGAACTGCTGCAACTTCTTCACGTTCTCCGGAACTTTCCACTTCTTAACGACTTCAATCTTCCGCGGGTCCACGTGCACGCCCTCTGCACTCACCATGTGCCCGAGAAACTGCACCTTCTTTAGGGCGAAGTCGCTCTTCGACAACTTCATGTAGAACTTGTTTTTCCGAAGGATCTCGAACACCTTCCGTAGATGCTCCACGTGCTCCTTCATGTTCTTTGAGTAGATGAGAATTTCGTCCAGGTACACCACTATGCACTCGTCCAGCAGGGGCCGTAGGATATGATTCATCTCCGCATGAAACGTTGCTGGTGCATTGCAGAGTCTGAACGGCATCACCAAGTATTCATAGGAGCCATATCTGGTATGGAACGCCGTCTTGTGGATCGAGTTGGCCGCCATTTTGATCTGCTAGTACCCCGACCGTAGGTCCAGCTTCGAGAAGACTATTGCACCATGCACTTGGTCCACTAGGTCGTCTATGCGCAGTATGGGATATTTGTTTTTTACTGTCTGTTTGTTCAGTACACGGTAGTCGATGCGCATCCGTAAACTGCCGTCTGGTTTTGGAGTGAAGAGAACTGGTGCACCGTAGGGAGAGGTGGATGGGCGGATCAGTTGTTTGTCCAGTAAATACTCTATCTGCTTCTTCATGTCTGTTAGATCGGTCAGACTAAGGCGGTATGGTGCACGTGAGACGGGTTTTGCACCTGGTTCCTCCACGATCTCGTGCTCGTGGGTGTAGAGCCTATGGGTAGGTCGTCGAGCATTATATATTTTTACTGCTCCAAGACCTCCTTCACTGTTGTAGGTAGCTCCATACTCAGCTTCTCCTCCTCTGCTACTACCATAACCAGTGCTCAGTAACCCGTGTTACTCTCGTTCACCGTCCGTTCGAGCCATGCCAGTGCTATTTCAGGAACGTTCCCTGTATCCATCCAGCTTCGCAGCTCCACTCGTTTCCCGTTGTTGTAGTTGCACGCCTTCTTGTTGACCCATTCAATCTCGGGGTTGCACCGCTTTAGGAAATCTTGCCCCAAGATGAAATCTAAACCCTTGATGTTCGTGATCGGCAACGTCGGCTTCCACCTCAGCGCCCCTATGTGCAGCTGCAGTGATGCTTCGCTATGGATGGGAAGTTCCGTACCGTCCACCATCGTTGCTGTGAACTTGGTCTCCTCCGAAGGTTCTATAATCTTCTCCAACGTCCAGCGGTCGCACACCGATTGGGACGCACCACTGTCCACCAGTGCCTGGAGGCGTCGCCCGTTGCGGATCACCTCGAGTAGTAGTGGTTGTTGCTGCTCTGAGTAACCGTAGATGGTTTCGCGTATAGGATCGTAGGGTACGACGAATA